GGATCGGCGTTTTGGTTTTGCGCTGCTGCCGTGCTGATGCTGGTGCAGGTGCATGTGCTGGCCGTGGCTTGGCGTTTTGGTTTGCACTTTGGAGCTTGGGCGCCGGTGCCGCTGCAGGGTGCTGGTGGTGCTGCTGCCGGACGTGTGGCCGTGTGCGGTTTGAGCTTGGGTGGTGGTGCCGCTGCAGGGTGCCGCTTCCAGACGTTGGAGCTTGGGTGGGTGGCCGCGTGCGCTTTGGAGCTTGGGTGCTGGTGCTGCTCTTGGGCGCTAGCGCCGTTGGAGGGCGCCGCTGCTAGATGGGCTTTGAAGCTTGGGGTTGGTGCTGTTGCATGGCGCTGCTATGGTGCCGCCCCCCACCCGACAGTAATTCTTAAGAGGTCCGTTTGGTTCTCGCTAGATAGCGAATAGCAAGAGCCATTGGGATTCTTACGGTGCCCGTGTGGGCTTTGGAGCCTGGCTGCTGGTGCAGGGTGCCGCTGCCGGTTGTCTACGTCAATGGGCGCTTTGGAGTGCTGGTGCTGCTGCCAGATGTCTACGGCTGTGGCCGCTTTGGAACATAGGTGCCGGTGTTGCTCCAGCACGATGCTTAACGTTACATTGTTGTATCTAGTCTGTTGCGCGCTGTGTGGTCAAATTCTGTTTGTGATGTCGCTGTGCCATGCGGTTGTGCTCGGCGCGTTTGCGTGAGTCAGTCCCATGAGGGAAGGAAAGCGCGCTGGTGTAAATTCGGCGTGTATATTACCACATCCGTAGCAACAACTCTTAGAAACGTGCAAACTGTTTGCAACCTGCACGTGCACTTACTTGTCGCATGTTGTAGCATACATGCAAAGGCAACTGTAAAACTCTCAGGTGTATTTTTTTGTAAACTCTTCTACATAACCTTTCTTTCTACGCTCCCATCAGTCGTATAGTTTTTGAAGGGTTCGTGTGCTTTCAGAACTCAGATGCAAATGACCCGGGTTTATTGCACAACAAAAGTGCGTTTTGCCTAGTCGCCAGTACCTTTACATGTACAACAACATGCTATTTGCAGTGTTTTGTGGGGTGTGGAGAGTGAAGTTCACTTCCCACGCAGCGCCCATTTTGATTTATACACACATACATGCACACGCTCATTGAGTTTGGAACCCACCCATCAGGCCAAGAGCGGTGCAGCCACTGGGTGGGGATGCCCAGTCACCATTGTGTCCTTCGTGTAGCTCAGGGATTTGAGGTTCATAGGATCCGCAAGATCACCTGATCCGGAAAAAACAAACAGATTTCGCAATTGGCTGGGGTGTGGTTCAAGTCACCTGCGGACGGGCAACTGTTGAAACTTCGATGCTGTCCGTTTCGCTGGTGGGAAACGATGGCGAGAAGCACTCGTCCGTACAGGTGATCCGGCCCTTTTTGACGATACCGTGAATAGCAAGGGTTTGTTTTAAACAACAAAGGGCCTAGAGGACCAAACTGTTTGGCTTGGGCGACATCAGTGATGCCAAGAGAGCTTTCAAGTGTGATCATGGACTTTTTCTCGTGGGTGGCTCAAGGCAACGGACTAAGGGGTACCGGGCCTCGGTTTCAGAGTGGGCACCGGGTGGACCCAAACAGTTTCTCGTGCAATTCCCCGAGGCTCAGCTACATGAGCAAGGCGGGTGTGGTTGCCAAGCCGCCGGGCGAGCCCAGCGGTATGGGAGGAACACTGGCTCCCACAAGAGTGGCTGAAAGGTGAAATGGGTCCCATCTTCCTGCCATCAGCAACTGAGCATCATTTTTTTTTTGGGGGGGGATGATTCTGGCGAGTCCTAGCATTCTGCATTCTGCATCGAGTAGCATTCAGCATCCATCTTGCAGATGACTCATGTGAAGACACCACACCCACAACTAGTTTTTTTTTTTTTTTTTTCACAAGTATGTACTTCATGTCTGTTGTCTTCTTTTGTAACATGTGAAATTCCTAGAAGTTCTGCACAAAAGCTCTTGGCGCTCAACGGGCAGACCGGCTAGCGACCGGTGACTTCAGGCCGGAGCCGTGGTCCGCGCCGGGACCTGACGCGTTGGTGCCAGCGCCTGCGGCCACGGGCTACATCGGCCCGGGGGGGAGGCGCTGGAGTGCCGGTGGGGCCGAATCAGGGAGGTGGGCCGAATCAAGCAGGTGGCTTTTTGGGTCGTGGTGGCTGATGTTTTGAGACGTTCCGATGAAGCCGCCTGTGGGCCGCCTGTAAAGAATCTTTGACATGCGGAGGCTTTTTTCTTTTGGCCTTCCGTCTGGAAGCATCCTTGGATTCACCACAGCTCACCAGATTTGCTGACGATTGGGATGAGGGTGAAACCACTTCACACCAACATAGACCCATGCACCTCCCACCACAGGTATACTTCTTTTCTTTTGCTTCCGAAATCATCTTCCTCACCCACATTCGAAGATCTAAAGCTACCCAAGAATACCAATTAATTGTAAGAAGATACAGAAAACGGATAGAAATAATCCTGATTTACCCTTTCCTTCCTTCGCTGCTTCGCCTTCGCCAGAACTCCCACCGGGCCCGGTGGTTCCGCCTGTGGCGCCGCCCGCGGCGCCCGCGATGCCGAACCCGGTGCCGCTGAACCCGGTGCCTGTGCCGGTGCCGTTCCCTCCGGTGCCTTGGCTGAGATGAGCATGACGCAAATGGCAGAGAGAGGTGCGTTGGCCATCATTGGCCATGGCAAATTCAAGCAGTTTTTTTTTTGGTAGGAGAAGGATTGAATCCTCAAGGCTTACTTTTCAGATGAATTTTGTGACCCGCTTGGTCACTAAACAACCCGACTTGGCAACTGTGGTGTTTGCGTGTCTACTCCCCTTCCTCTACTCAACAGATGCAGCGATAGGCAAAGTTAGATGGCTCAGGGGCTGATCAGATCGCTAACAGCGAATCAAGAGCAGGCACCCCAAGTAGATAGAACATGGGACAATTGAACCAAAAGTGGGGGGGTGCTCATGTTCTTTCGAACATTGCCTTTAGGGACTCGGGGGTCATAACGTTTGGTCGAAAGCACGGTTCTTATGCCTTGTGCACCTTGCATTGGGCATGGGATTTTGCGCCGTTCAGGTCGAGCCTTCTTTGCCGGCTCCAGGAGAAAATTGATGCGCAGCTCTTCTTTGACGGTCCCTCAGGTGGTTGCCAGGTCTATGCAGTTAAAGACTTGCTTCAGAAACAAGTCTTTGTGGTGCGCCTGTCGCCAGGAGGTTTTCCAGATGCCTTCAATTCCGCGATGGTCCCCATGCCGAAGGCCCTGTGCTGTGGCCTGGTTTTCTTGCGTGATGATCATGGCGAACGGCAGGCACCGCAAGCGGTGGTGTCAACGGCTTCGCTTGAGGAAACCGACATTTCCTTTGGAATGCTTGGGGGCAGAAGTGTTGGCGTCGTGGCCAGGAGCAATTGCAGCAACAAGCGAAAGTTGGAATCCCAAGTGACACACACACACACATATATATATATATAATATAAATAAATATATATATATATTGCTTTGGTTGGACGGTTGAGTTTGGCTACTCGCTGTGCCGAGGCGGCGATTATGAAGTTGCAGGGTGGGGAGGAAGAAGAGGATCAAGGCACAGTGGTTCACATTGGCAGCCCAGGGTTTGGCTCTACAAATGCTTGATGCGACCGTGACCCACAGTTGTTTTGCATGCCCGATGCCCTATTGTCACGAAAGCAGGCTGTGAAGGAGGTCTGCACTAAGGATCGAATTGACATGTTACTGCTGAAGTATGCTAAAGTTACTAAAGGCTGCCGTTCCCGCTTCGATAGAATTAATCAGAAGCCCTTCCCACCCTCAAGGAATGGATTTCGTATTGACCCTGCTCCAAAAAGACACACACATTGGAACCAGCTTAGGCACGCAAAGGTTTTGGAATATGTGTTTGTCACGAAAGCTAGCACCAGCTAGCTGGAGTTGTCCTTGCTTTAGCAAGTGAGGGGCTGGAATCCTCGAGATCGCCGCATCACGTGAAAACTTCATATGTAGGGGGCCCCCCCCTCCCCCCCGGTGGGTTCAACTCCTACCTGGGACGCCTCTGGGACACCTCTCGGGCACCTCTTGTGGCATCCACTTTGGTTTAACTCCTCCGGGATACGGTGCAACAGATTCAACAAGCTCACAGGTTCATGACATCGACATTGATAGAAGAAACCAAGTAAATCATGCAAGCAGCTGTGTTTTGCCTCTGGGACACCTCTTGGGCACCTCTTATGGCATCCACTTTGGTTCAACTCCTCCGTGGAGGTTTTGGGATACGGTGCAACAGATTCAACAAGCTCACAGGTTCGTAAACACATCGGATGCATCGAATAGTGTGGCAAAGTCCAGCCACGCTTCCTTGATTATCGGGGACTTCAATTCAAAGGTTGGCTGTGTCATTGCTGTTTGTGTGTCTTACATGTTCACAACGTTTTACCTCATGAGCATTTGCCTCAATCCGCTTGATGTCCCACCAGTCCGGATGCACCCCTGCTAGCTTTCGTCACCTACCCTCGGCCTCAAGTTGTGTGCTGAAGCTCGGGAGTCCAGCGTCGTTGGCTTGGTAGTCAATGAAGGTGGGCTCGAACATGTACTGAAGTAGGAGCATAGCAGCTTGCATCTTCCCATGTCAGTTTTTGTTTGCTTTCGTTCCCGCCTCTCCAGTTGATATGCAAAAATAATCCGCCAAAAGGGAACTACCCACAACCAGGTGGGGTTGGTTCTTGCCCCTGTTGTTGAGCCGTAATCATTTCACTCGATGCACTGTAAAGTGCAAACAACTATGCAATCAACTCGTATACTTGTTGTATGTTGTATGTTTGTTGAGTTGACTCTGAACTTAAAACATTTACCAATTGACTCAAAGCATCTCCTAGCGGCATGTTCACGAGAAATTCGCTGACCCTTTGACTCGTGAGCAAAGGGTCAGTTGGAGCCGCAATTGATTCTTGGGGGGGGGCAGGACGAATCAAAAATCAAAGTTGTGACGTCCTAAACCCCGAACAAGCCCGTCAGCCATCCTCCAAACGACTGTCACCCATGGACGGCGCCGTTCGTGCACTGGAGTCTGATCCGATGGTGGGACACCGCAAGAAGGAGAGGGTCCAAGTGCGAAGTATTTGACTGATCCGTCTTTTAGGTATGCAGCACCTAAGATGCAGTTCATTCACAAGACCTTTTGCAGCACTTGGGGTACGGAAATCAGGGCACTTTATGAATGTTCATGGAAAGGAAAACCCAGGGTAACCTCTGAACTGCTCACAGGTTTAGTAAGGTAGCAAAACATGTAGTAACTGCCGAGCTTTGATCCACCTTGTCAAATAAGTGTCTAAACAGAGCACCAAAGGAACCAAATTGCAGGAAGAATGTGCACACCTTACTTTGAAGGCAAAAGCTGCCAAGTCTCTTGGAGTGTCTGTCGAAAAGAATGTCGTCCCTGAGAAAAACATGTGGCACAGATTATAGATTGCATTAGATTGCTGGTTCTCCTGGACTTGGTGCATCTGATTTTGCATTTGTTCTCGTTATTCTCGTCTCAACTGGGGTCCTGAGATGGACTCCCCTGCCGGATTCCCGGAATCTGTGGGATTTCCTCGACCCAACTGCTTGATCTTCATCGAACGGCCCAAGGGTTTGGAATGGTTTAGCAATCTAGAAAAAAAAATCATGTGGGAGCGCTTAATCTCCCCCCACCCTCAGGCAGGTGGAGCTTCCTTGAAGAAGCGTGAGTTGTCTTGCGTCCTAGCCAGGAGCGAACTAGTCGCCCTTACTTAATTGAGTAGGCGCCTACTTGATTAAAGCTTAATTAAGTAAGGGCGGGCTTTGAACAAATCAGTTCACTACCACCGGTGCTGGCGGGGGACTCCCGCCTTACAACCGTGACTCCCCATGACTCGGAGTTCGGCGATCCCAGCTGCAGGTGTCTCACAAGCAGTTTTCGAGGACCCACGTGGGCAGTCTTGGACATGATTGAAGTTCGAACACATTTTCTTTTTTCTGCCGCCATCCTTTGGCGTGAGGAGAAGCTTGCAGAATTCCGAACACGTTTTGGTTGGCTTCCCAGCGATGATCGGGTGTCCGACGGGTTCCGTGACCGATCGTCGTCCCGATCGGGCACGGCCACGAGAGCACCCATGAGGTCTGGATGATCGAGTCTTCTCAGAGCTCCGGGATGTGCGACACTTGAAACGTGACTTGCGGACCATTCTTGAGAACTGGGTTGGATTGGGAGAGACTTGGGTTGAACAGCTCCAACTTGATCCAAGTATTGGTTAAAAAAAACTATTTTAGTGTGGTTCAATTTCTTTGTCCGTTCTGCCGTTTCACGGTGTTTACCTTCCGGTCCAAGCTCTTTTGACCTGAGGTCATGGGGCGGCGGCGCCAAACCTTCATACAGGCAGCGAGTCAGCGAGTCAGAGTTCGAAATTGGATAGACCCAGAGTTGAGATCTTAATAGCTAGTCTGGCAGTTCTTACTTGGTTCTTGCTTGGGAGAAAGTGGGAGAAAGTAGTTTCTTTGATAGGTTCTTGGGATATTCTAGTAGATCTGAATAGCTCGAGTCTGGTCGTGTTCGTGGAGAATTTGGATGATTGGGTGAAATAAGGGCATCACACCTGACACCTTCATCTACATTGTTGGGGGTGTTGAACTGCGCCGAGATTGGATTTGGGAATCGCCACGTGGCCCGGTAGATGCCCGGCCCGTGAGTGAACCCATCCTCCTGGCGTGTCCGGCATTGTCGTGGCCGAAACGAGGAATTTCATGTGACTCGGCGAGGACATGCAGATGTTGTTCAACCAGCTTACTCATGCTCGACACCCACCTGGCTTGTTGCTGGTCGGCTCCTCATCCACGGCTCTGGATGCTGAGTGAAGGTGCCAGCACATGGAGCTCACACGGATCAATCACTGCCTTTGCTTCTCCTGGTCATCAATTGTTTAAGGTGAAGCTTCGGGAGATCAAACAATTTACACCAGCACCTGCGAGGCGAGCATCAGGGGTGGGGATGGTGGCGCTCTGGTGTAGAGAGATGTGGGTACAGCTCTCCTATTTGGATGGCCATGGAATTCCAACTTTGTTGGTCCCCAAATCGATTCACTCTGACCCATTGCTGTGGGCTGTGGGCCGTGGGCCCAGTCCCACACAGCTGGAGAGGTTAGGGGAATGAAAAAGAGATCGTTCCCTTCCAAAAAGCCCTTGACAGGTTTCTACCTCTGTCAGCTACTTTGAAAGAGGTCGCCTTTGGTTCTGCCCGCTTGGGGACCACTGCTAGCTACATGGTGTTTTTGCTGCTCGGCAGGAGCAATGACATGTGTGGTGACTTCCAGAGAGGCGACATCGACATGCTGCGGGGGAACATGTGGCGTGGCAAGCAGGGCGAAGACAGACATGACAGAGTCCCATGCTCATCTCAGGTGCAGGACCCTCTTTTTTGGGAGGACCGGTCAGCCTCAAGCTTGCCTGAAAACCGGCGTACATGAAGGAGGGGTTGTTCATGTGGGTGTGGGTGTGTGCTAGACTAGATGGGGCTTCCCCACACACCAGTCCTGACATTTGTTTGTTCTCCTGCCCAACCCTGCCATCCAACCAGGGGTCGCACGCTTATCTCACCAGATGGTCTACCATCCACAAATGCCAGCGTTGTGGCTCGATGTTGTGGGTTTGGTTCGACCCCACACAGACCGGTCAAACGGATCACCAGTCCCATTACCCAGCTTCTTGGCCATCGCTCAGACATTGGAGACTGCCCCACTGCCCACCATGAAAAACATGGGGTGACAAAGATCCCTCCCTGTCTCACTCAAGAAATGATCTCCCGATCCCGAACAAGATGAACACGTATTTCCCTGGATAATTCTATATAAGTTATATAAATAAAACAATAGTATAGGTGTTCTATTATAACTCGATCTGAGGGATTACCCTTTCAGATCTCATTTCTAGTTTGCTCGTCCGTCCTTCACCGGCGTCGGCGGGGGGATTGCCAGGCTTCTGCTCGCGCGGTGAGAACTGCCGCTTCGCACACGAAAAAGCGGGGGCCCCCGGTGTGGGTGGCCCGGGCTCGAGGGGAGAAGGATGACAAAGATTTGGGCACCTGGGGTGAAGCAGGAGAATTTCTTAAACAACTCTTGTATTTGGCAGTTTCGGATTGAGTCCTTGCCGAGTTGGAAACCACGACATGCACATCTATGTCATCACTGAACATCCGGTCTTTGCACGGCTTGATCTGCTCCCCGGTCTTCGTGAGCCGATGTGACCCCCGATGTGACCCCCGACGTCGCGTGCGAAGCGACCGCGGAGCTTTTCTCGGCGATCGCCCTTCAGGCGGCCGTGCGGCCCTCCGATCAGCCTCCTCCAGATCCTGCGGTGATGCAAGGCGCCATCAGGGACCCCCTGGTTCTAACCGGGCGGGAAGCCCTGGAGGTGATTGTGGATCGATTAGATTCTTAGATCGTCAGCAGCAACACATCGAATCCAAGACCAAGACCCCAAGCGTGTTAGCTCCCGGAGATTCTGAACCTGCCAGTGGGTGAATGGAATGACGAAGTATTTGGATCCAACGGCCAAGCAACAAGTTCATAGGACCTCCCAAGTCGTCCCTTTTTCCCGAATGCGTAGCGAAGGGTTCTCGTTTAACTCTGGGGGTCTGGGGGCAGAGCCTTGTTCGCGACCCGTGGTTTCTAAGTTCGCAACCGTCCGCAACCGTTCGCAACCGTTCGTAACCGTTCGCAACCGTCCGCAACCGTTCGCAGTAGAGCGCTAAGGCGCTGCCATTGGGGGAAGCTTTTGGAGAGGGTTTCGGATGAAAACGTGACGTGTCAGATTCGTGTGAAATAGCGAGGAATCGTGTGGAAATGTAAGATGTTGAAGTGTGGAGGATGATTTCACTGCACAGGCGCAGCGTTTTGTGAGATCCACAGTTTTCTGCACAGTTCCATTGGGATTAGTGTCTGGAGAGTCGTGATTTTGGGGTGTTGGACGTGGCAGTGCCATTGGAATTTGCGTTTCAGGGTGTGGCATCGAAGCTCTGTTTTCGTGACAAGTCTCAGCTGAAATGGGATGGGAGTGTGCTCAGAACGGGTCGAAATCATTCCAAACATGTGGTGTGGTGCAAATTTTGTTGAAGCTCACATGAGATGATATTGTCACTTTTCGTGGCAGGCGCAGTACTTTGTGCGGGTTTTGAGGTGTGGAAGTGCGATTTTCGTGGCAGGCGCAGGGAATTGTGAGGTTGTGAGGTGTGACGGAGGTGACATTTCGTGGCAGGCGCAGTACTTTGCGCACGTTAGACGTGTGGACGCGGAAAGATTCGTGGCAGGCGCAGGGAATCGTGAGGTTGTGAGCTGTGGTAGAGGTGAACGTCGCTGTCACATTAGGATTGGCGTGTGAGCGGGTGTTGTTTGGAGGGGCTGGAATCGCGAAACTGCTTGGCAGGGCTGCGTGATGTGTGTGCTCCAATGGGTGTTTCCGCTTGACTTTTGGAGGAAGTCTCGTACGAAATGCTCGTTTTGCAGACTTTGACGTGTGAGTTTTTGAGGAAGTCTCGCGCGAAACGCTCGTTTTGGAGACTTGACGTGTGACTTTTTGGAGGAAGTCTCGTACGAAATGCTTGTTTTGGAGACTTGACGCATGGCTTTTGGAGAAAGTCTCGTACGAAACGCTTGTTTTGCAGCCTCGAAGCGTGACTTTTGGAGGAAGTCTCGTACGAAACGCTCGTCTTGCAGCCTCGAGGCGTGACTTTTGGAGGAAGTCTCGTACGAAACGCTCGCATGACTGCTTCTAGTGTATGGGCAGAACGTTTGGCGACGCGCCGTTAGTGCCATTGGGATTTGCCCAGCCTTGGTGGAAAGTGCGTTTGCGTGGCGCCGTGCCACTGGGGAGCGCGAAACAGGCTGGCGTAAACGCGGCGTGCCGCTGGTGTGCGGGATGATTTGTGGTATCATGTGACATGTTTGCTTCTATAGTGTCTGGGCAGACCGTGTGGCGACGCGACGTTCGTGATGTTGCAGTGCCATTGGGATTTGCGCGGCCTGGGTGGGAAGTGTGTTTGCGTTGCGCCGTGCCACTGGGGAGAGCGAAACAGGCTGGCGTAAACGCGGCGTGTCGCTGGTGAGTGGGATGATTTGTGGTATCATTTGACATGTTTGCTTCTAGTGTCTGGGCAGACCGTGTGGCGACGCGACGATCGTGATGTTGCAGTGCCATTGGGATTTGCGCGGCCTTGGTGGAAAGTGCGTTTGCGTGGCGCCGTGCGCGAAACATGCTGGCGTAAACGCGAGAGTGTCCCACAAGAGTGTCCCGCAACCGTGTCCCACAAGAGTGTCTCACAAGAGAGTGTCCCTCAAGAGTGTCCCTCAAGAGTGTCCCACAAGAGTGTCCTACAAGAGTGTCCCACAAGAGTTTCCTACAAGAGTGTCCCACAAGAGTGTCCCACAAGAGTGCCCTACAAGAGTGTCCCACAAGAGTGTCCTATAAGAGTGTCCCACAAGAGTGTCCCACAAGAGTGTCCTACAAGAGTGTCGTGTAAGAGTGACCCACAAGAGTGTCCTACAAGAGTGTCTCACAAGAGAGTGTCCCATAAGAGTGACCCACAACACAAGTGTCCTACAAGAGTGCCCCGTAAGAGTGACCCACAAGAGTGTCCTACAAGAGTGTCCCACAAGAGTGTCCTACAACAGTGTCCCGCAAGACTTTCTTACAAGAGTGTCCCAAAACACTGCCCCGCAAGAGCTTCCTACAAGAGTGACCCACAAGAGTGTCCTACAAGAGTGTCCCACAAGAGTGTCCTACAAGAGTGTCCCACAAGAGTGTTCCACAAGAGTGTCCTGCAAGAGTGACCCACAAGAGTTTCCTACAAGAGTGTCCCACAAGAGTGTCCCGCAAGAGTGTCCCAGAAGAGTGTCCCACAAGAGTGTCCTACAAGAGTGTCATTTGGACATATGTAGCTTTTCGAACGTGCTTGCATTCGGGTTCGTGGGCTCCATCTTGTTTATTCAAGGGGCTGTCACAAGACGCCAGTCAATGCTGCGGCCGCCCAGATAAAGCGTATGATGCCAATCCTTTCTTGTCTTATGCTGGTTACTTGATGGCTTAGAGCTCGCTTGCGAGGAGAGATCATGTCTTTGGTGACAAAGTTCAATTTGGATGACAGGCAAGGGACATTTTTGCTTGGATTTTTCTCATGTGCTGCCCTGCTGAGTGCCTTCCTTTGCTTTTCGACATCTCGAGGATACGCGTGAGATTGAACGAGACGCTCCTGCGCCGTGTTCGGCGCTGAGAACCCCATTGTTCGGACGCGGGATGCTTGGGCGCCAGCGCTGGACGGATGCTGAGGCCTCCAGTTTTTGGGACGTGGCCAGCTTAGACCCAGCCGCGGTTGGCGTCTGTGTTGTAGGTCGCCAATTGACTCGGAGAGTGCAACGGCTGATCTCCTTGGAACATGGGACGACATGCATCGGCCATCTTTGGGACCCCCTTCTATGAAAGAATGGGTTTCGGGGGCCCGCCCCTCGGGCCAAGACGAACACCCTCTCCTCAAGACGACACCGACACCGACACCTTCTTTTTCGCTTTGAACACTCTCTGGTTCTGTTGCGGCCACGGAGAGTCATCTGTATGATGTTGGCTGAGCCATCACGTTGATGTGAGCCAACATCGGAGTGATGTGAAGAGCCCAGTCACAACAGTCAACGGTGAGATAATGTTGGTCCAATAAGATCCTTTGAGATGACAAGGCTCACGTCACCACGTCCAGATGACCTCCTATTTTCCCGAGGACATGGCCACCCTTCGCGACATTATGGCGTCCGGAGCACAGATGGCGTCGGAGCACGAGAAGACATGGCAAACACGTGGGGTTCGAACATCGAACCTGCAGATCCGATGTGCAACATGCAAAATCATTACCGGTGTTTCATTTTTTTTGGAACCTACGGCGACCTATGGTCCTTTTCTTGTTCCTTTGTTCTCTCCTCCCAGCTTGAAAACAGCACAGCCGCGAGAAGCGACCGATGCGCTCCGTTCGGACGGCACGGAAGCTCCGTCCCAGCCGGCTTGGTCCGAGGACCGCACGGAACCCTCCGGGATTGCTCTCAGTGAAGCTGACCGAGATGGAGCAAGGTCGTTTTGTTGCCAGAGGCGGAGATGGAGACAAACATCGTGTCGAAGTGTGCAAGATGGCTTTCTTTCTTTCCGACTTAAGGTCCTGAAGGGGCCGGGATGTTGTCAATACAATGTTTTCTGGGCTGATGCTTGGCAGGGCATGAAACAACAGGCCTGACAGGCCTGCTCTTGTTGGGTTTCTTCCTTTCCCCAAACGAAGCACCCGTGACTTCCTTCCTTTCCCAGCGGACTCTCCGCGCCAGGCGGAACGGTGGGACCTCCCACGGGCGAGATTGCCAAGGTGAACGATCGGGTCGGGATCGAAGTGAAGGAACCGAAGAATAGGAGAGGTTCTGAAAGAGGGCGGGCGGGGTCACGGTCTCTGATAAGATCTGTGCCGTTGGTTTCACTCCCGAAAAACCACTTCTTCTTGGTAGTCTTGTGGTTCTTTTTTTCCAGGTCGCATCCAATCGCCAGCAGGCCGCACCGCACAGAACGGGTCTGGGCGGAGTGGGCGTCGCGAGTGAGCGGTGAAAGTGAGAGGATTTTCTCTGTGAATCAATGGTTGAGATGTTCTAAATAGGTACATAAGTGCATGTTCGCTAAAGATCTCTCTAAAGGTGCACCCACCCAACCCCATCCGGGAGGCCCAAAAGAGCCTCCAGGTGTCCCGATCCGATGGGACTCCGCTTGCGACCGGCGCTTCGACCGGCGACTTCGCAGTCCATGGAGATGTGCGGTGACTTCCGACGCGGGGTGTGCAGCCGCCGGGGATGCCCAGCGAAACTGCTCGGAAGCGTGGAAGACCCGTCGGACCAACATGGGTCTTCCCCCCAACCGACGTGGTACTCAGATCGACCGGTTGCGGCGACGGTGTGTGTTTCACACTGCGTGGTACATCGCCGAGACCGCAGACCGACCGATCCGAGCGCGAGTGGCGACCGATCCACTGAGGTGGAGACCGATGCAAGTTTTCCCACGGCAATCCTCAGCCTCCGGGTGGACCGCCCCCCAACGTCATGGCGGCACTCCACGAGAAAGCAGGGCTTCCTCCGCTGCCGGTGACCACGGGCACACCGGCGGGGGGGGCTGAGAACGTGAAGGGAAGTGAAGGTGTTTGGGGTGGTGCACCAGCAGGTTTGGGTATCTAAAGATGATGTTTTGCAGGTTTTCACATCACCCTCTTTTTTTCCGACTGGTTTGGGGGGTTCACCCGAGCTCCTCCCAGGTTTCGCCATTTGCAGTACAGATTCTATGTTGGTATAGTTTAGTTTATATAGCAGTCTTTGGTTTGCTACATTGGTTTGGTTTGCAAAGATTTGCATTTTCAGTTGGCTTCGCTTTCAGGCGAGTACGCCTGGGGTGCCTCCCGGCTTTTCTGCTGCTCAGAAGATTAAGTGTTTTGCGCTGTGAAGGCCATTCCAGTTCGACTGCTTCAAGTCCACACACTTTGTGCTGCTTTTGAGCGTCTCACAATTCATAGAGGCATCATATACTAAGGACCCATTGGTTGGAGGATGCCCCGGATGTAAGACCATGTAATGTAATACAACCTTTTGCAACTCTATTCTGATGATGCCCATGATGCTTCGCTCGTTTGAGCCACGCTAACCTTTAAATTTCAGACCTACGAAGGTCGCGACAAAGGCACACCAAAAGAAAGGTATGGTCAGTATGGTTGAGGTCAAGAACCCTTGAGACCCATCCTTGGTGCGTTCTTCTTTTGTTGGCTGTTGGTCTTTCAGAAAGCTTCCTGTTAGAAGCATCCAAGCATCCTGAGATGTCAATTCCACTTCGGGTGTCGATCATCTTGTTTGGTCATGTCTGGGTCCCACAACGAGCTCCGTCTGTGGTGAGCAGGTCTCTGGGTCTCTTGAGGCAACTGCGAATTGATTTCGAGTGAAATTTTAAACATCCACACCCAAGGGGCCAGTTGGTGGGTGACAACCCAAGTCCTTAACCTTTGATTTTGAACTCTTTGCTGAAATCTCACTATTCTTGGCCAAGGACTCTTCGTACATACGGATATATAACTTGAAGTAGGGGTGACCCCCCAGAAAGGAAAAAGTGGACTTCAAAGGCTGCGACCAACCCCAAAAAGGGTCCAGATGACTGTTGTCGGGCATGTTTGTGGATGGCCGACAGGGCGGACGCGAAGTGACAGGGTGATCTCTACAGAAACTTTCGATCACTTTAGTCAGAGCCGGTTGGCACCCAGACACGGGAACTCCAAAAAACAGGGGCCCAGGTGGACCGATTAAGACCCACCTCTTCAACCTGGAAGGGATGTAAGGTGGTTGACCGTCCAGTCGAAGGTGTTGCATATGGACCAACATTTGGGCATTGTTTTTGTCACATGATGTCACATGCCTAGAACTTTGATCACATTTTCATCCTTTTTCAGTGCAAGTGTTGGATGCGACCAACCGAAACACGGACCAAACAGGTGAACATCCAAAACACTTTCAGTTTCAAACATCCAAGCGCACAGACAAACATGCTATGAATGTGTTTGGGTGGGGGTGTATTGAAGTGAGATGCCTTGCCGGAGATTTCTTGCAAGAGAGATGAGAGAACATCAGACAATGACACCTTGCTGGATGTCTCCCTGGTCTTTCGCTACACCAAACACCACTGCTCAGCTTCCGGCTGTCTGCCTCTCCTTTCCGAGGCTGGCTCGCGCTTCTCGGAGACTCCACCGCCGCCGCTGGGCTTCTCCGACACGGCCGGTGGTCCGACGACGCAGCGAGCGGAGAGTTTGCTCGGAAGGCGCCGGCGTCGGTCGCGCGAAAGCGGACGGGCAGTCGTGCCCGGCTTTGGGCCCAGCAGGGCGTGGTGGGCGGTTCCGGGCTCCAAAGTCAGCCCATCGATGCGTCTCAATTCATCTCAATTCATCATAGTTGTTTGCAATCAGCCCGACTTGAAAAGGTCGGAAGGCGAACATGTGGGATCATGTTGGACGAAGACGAGCGCAGCGAGCGAGGCGTTTACGCCTATTTTCAGGTCTGAGGGTCCAAGTGCTTCAGCATGTTCTTGTGCCCCTCAGAAGCGGGCACACGGGCGCAGGGCGAAGAAACGCTCCAAAAGCCCCAGCGAAAGCAGCGAAAGTCGGAGGCCTTCACCGTTCACCGGGCCGTGGGCTAGGCATGAAAATACAGAGCAACGTTCTCATCCTTCTCTCAAGAACACCATTTCAGCCGGTTGCAGAGCCGTTGTTCGCGTTCGTCCAACGAAGTCGTGCACACCTGCGAGGAAGCCCAGCAGAAAAGCCAGCAGAAAGGCCAGTAGGTCGGAGAGCAAGAAAAAGTCCAGGCTTGGAACATCTGAGATTGGGTTCAGACATGTTCAGACGCTCCCAAATATTCACCGTTCACCTGGCCCCAGGAGCCGCCGTGACCGAAGTCGGCGCCGTAGCCGAGACGGCCGAGACGGCCGAGACGGCCGAGACGGCCGCGAGCGCAGCCGTCGTGGGGACCGCGACCGGCGCGACGGCCGCGACGCCCGCCGGGACCGGCGCGACGACCGGCGCGACGACCGGGACCGGCGCGACGGCCGGGACCGGCGCGATGAGCGGGATCGCCGGGATGACCGGGGGAAGGACCGGGAGCGCCGAGATCGGGAGAAGGACCGGTCCAAGAGCAGGGACCGGAGCCGAGACCGGGACCGAGAGAAAGGACGAGAAGATGGGAAGGACCGCGGGGGGTGATCGATGCACCCATTTCGCTTCGATCGACCGTGGAGATATGCGAAAATGGGATACTTCACACAGCAGACACTATGTGCAATGTACAGGGTGGAGCAGAAAACTGGTTCTGGCGAAGAATCTTTGGACAAATGAGAAGCATATATTAAAGTATATTAAAGTGAATGAACCAGCTAGTGCCTATACAAAACAGCCTCTTGGCCAACATACAGGACGCAGTACCCCCACCTCCTGGCGGGCTGACGTCCCCACAGGACCGCGAGACTTCTCCGTCAGAGAAGAGATCAAAGGAGGAGAAGGCCGATGAAAAACCAGCGGCTGCAGCTGAAGATGCTCCTGCGGCAGCTGCAATGTCGCAGCTCCAACGAGACATTCAACAACAGCTGGAAGAGGAACAGAAGAGGACCGAAGGGGTTCAGTTGGGGCAAACAAAGGGTTCCTTTTTGTTCAAGTTCACTTACCGTTACTTCCAATTCTTACGAATTGGTGGCAAAATCCTTCAGGATGGACAAGCAGAAGGAATTGGAGCTGCAGTTGCAGAGGGAGCTTGAGGCTCACGTGGCAGAGGAGCAGAAGCGGCTGGAACGTCAGCAAGAGCAGGCCAAGTTGGAGCAGAAGTTGGAAGATGAACGAAAAAAGAAAGAGTTGGAGAGATCAAAGCGGCATGAAGAGGATTCCCGAAAGAAAGAGGAGGCAAAGTCTGGCAAGGAGAAGGACAAGCAGAAGGAGAAAGAGAAGGAGAAGGAGAAGGAGAAGGAGAAGACAAAGGAGAAAGAGAAGGCCAAAGAGAAGGAGGTAGACAAGGCCAAAGACAAGCAGAAGGAGAAAGAGAGCTCCAAAGACAAAACGAAGGAGAAGGCCGCAGAGAAGGACGAGAAAGCGAAAGAAAAGGCGAAGGAGAAGGATGCTTCGAAAGACAAGCAAAAGGATACGGAGAAGGGGAAAGAGAAACCCAAGGAGAAGGAAGCTGCGAAAGACAAGCAGAAAGAGCAAGACAAAGCAAAGCAAAAGGAGAAAGAAGCCGCGAAGGAGAAACAGAAGGAAAAAGAGAAGGCGAAGGCCTCTATAGGTGTTTAAATATATTCGTGTCCAGATCGTTCTTTCTTGCACTTCGCACATGCAGCGTTGTGCACATTTCAGTTGGCGCTCTTCTCTTCTGAGAAGGAAAAAGAGAAAGCAAAAGAGACCAAAGAGAAAGATGACCGCAAGAAGCGATCCAGGCGAACGGCGAAACGACCAACAAACCACATACACTTGTGTTCGGTTGTTGTGTTCGAACGGCGAAACGAGACAAAACAAACCACTGTTTTGCTTTCTCGGTTGGTAGGGTCGACATCCATCCAATCATGGTGAACAGAATATCATTTTTTTTGCTTTAATAAACACTCAGTACTTTGGGATGGTGCCCTCTCTCACCAGCACAGTTCTTTTTTTCCGACGTGCTTCGGCATGTCCTGCCGAACCGGCCTAAGCGATGAAAGAGGTGCACGGAGCTGCCGTCGACAGCAGGAGGGTGTTCGATGCTTTTCAGGGTTTGGGGAGGTCGGTCGCAGCCTGTTTTCTTCAACCTCGGGTGGTCGATCCCACCAAGGTCAGGGATTGAACATCGCGAACGCCTCAGGTCATGTTCGGCCAGTGATGCGCCGAAGGCACGTGATGGCGGTGGACACGAGTTTGGAAGGGGCCACCTGTCTCGGCAGTGCCAGAATCAATCAGCATTTTTCATCCCCAAAACCACAGGCAGTGTGACAGTCCAGCTTTGGTCAATTGAGAAGTTGGTTTGGTCGGCGCCGTCCGCGAGTGGTGCTGGCGATGTCGATGTCCTGGCACTCCTCGGATTGACACCTCAGGGGATTGAGCGCTGCGCGGTGCGCGTGGCAGGTGCTCCTTGTTTATTTTAGAGCAGCCTTTTTGCTCGTTTCCACGCAGGAAAAGAAAGCTAAACTGAAAGCTAGGGCTTAGCTGCGGGTCCGGCGCTCAGAAGTTTTTGAGTCCAGCTTGCCTCCGATCGCTTGCAGCAACCCTCAACCAACACGACAGGTTAAACCCTGCGGTCCCTCTCCGCGGTCCCTCCCCGGTCCCTCTCGTCCCACGCGCCAGGCGGTCAAGGGGCGACGAGTCTCGCCCACCCAGTGGGCGCTCGGACTCGTCCGAGTTCATCGCTCCAAAAGATACCCTCCGCTGGAGGGTGTGTGCGCCGCCCTGCGGGGATGGGGGGCACCGGCGGTCCATTTTGGTAGGGGGTGTTCCGGGTGCAGTGCAAGGGCAGGAGGTGGATGTCTGACTGCTTCGGTCGACCGGTTTGGCAGCAGTCCGGTGAAGGCAGACGTCCTTCGCATTGGACAGTATTGGTCGGCGAAAGTCTTGGTTTCTGATTGCACTTTATGACTAGATACAGTACAGTATCCCCTAGCAGACGGCACGCATTTGCTTTTGTTTCAGCCAATGATTGTTCGGGTCTTTGGTCTGCCAACTGGAGCCATGCCTGTCAGACATGCGTTTGGATGTCAGCGTCCATTACTTCACAAAAAGAACCAGGACTCAGCATGTGCAGCTTCGGCTTCAGCTTGCGCTCAGCGTTAAATGAAGGTGGAAGCCTGCGCCTGCGCAAAGAGGTGTCTATTGAATATTGACATAATATATATATATATACACATAACACACACACACACATATATATATATATATATATCAATGCAGCTTACAGAGGAAGAAAGCAAGTGACCTCGCCGAGTCGCAATGCGTTCTCTTTCTCAGCTTCTAGTCTCGTCTCCGCTTACCCCCCAAAAACAGTACTCTTTCACTTTCATGACCCGGTCAGGAACCGATGCACCGGTCACGGGAGGGCGTCATTGTTTGACGGACTTGGACGTCATTGGCTGAGCTCAAACAACTTCTAACATCTTCAGCAGCATGCGCGGGTCGCAAGTCTTACGGATGTCTCACTAGTCGTCAATGTAGTCCACGCCGGAGCTCTGCAGCTGTGGAGCCATGGCTGACTGTAGCTTCCGCAGAAGATTATTGCTGCTGGTTCTTTGGGTCATCGCCCCAGCTCAAGGTCTGACATTTGTGGCTCAGGTGTGTCAGTGATCTCTGTGCATTATTTTGTTTGGTTCCGGTCAGCTGTGTCAGCGAACGTGCTGACAGCGCCAGAACCGAACTGCGCCATCCACTGCTGTCCCCGGACAGGAAGAGGTCCAACTCACCTGGAGCTTTCAAGGACTCCCTGGAGTTCAGGATGGTCTACCGTAGACCCATTTGGGCTAAACGCCCGGCAGGCGGACCGACGCGCCGACCAGCACGACCGACCAGGATCGACGCACCGAGGCTTGGGCCTTGGAGAGCCGCGACTTCATCGAGGTGGAGCCGTGGATCGACCGACGAGTCTTCAGACCTCACAGGGGGGGTGAGCCCGAGTCTTGGTGCTCACCTGTAGTGTTGTTGTCATATTCTTTTTGTTTTTGTTTTTTTTAAACATTTTTGGGATGGTTTCTGTTTTGCCTGAAAACAGAAGAACACGGTTTTGGACGGCGATGGTTTGTTGGAGTGGATTCGCACCCTCCTGTCCTAGTTTGATAACACAGAGAGCCCTTCTGTTCATGGATAAAATAGGATGACAATACCATTTCAATCTGGCAGAGTCAGAGTCCTTTCCCACCAGATGAAGTCGCTCCCAAATGAGAGACCCTGCGCTGGTCCCGACAGGGTGCCAGACCTGTCCGACGGAACCACGGCGTGGTTCGCCCGGCCGGGGTGGCCCGGGCGGGTGTGGGGGACGAGTTGGAGAGGAGGTGGTTTGAAGAGGACAGGGGTGTTGGTTCTTCTTGGAGGTCTATCTGATGCTTTTGGGGGGGTGATTTGTTTTTGGGCCACGGTGCCCAAGACAGCATGAAGAGGGGCTTCTGGGTTTTTGGGCCTTCGCTTGGTTTCAAGGGGTGCCTCTCATTTGGATTTCGGCGACGAGTTGTAAGTAGAAATCCACAAGAGTCTCAAGCAGGCGTCTTACGCCTGGATCGATTCTTCATTTTTCAGGGTACACCAGATGATGTGATTTGCACCATCCAGCAACTTACTGATTTATATACTTAACTACTAGTTGGTCCTGGGATGTTGGAACGATGTGACCCGGCTCCAGGGGACATTTAAGAACCACCACCGCAGTTGCTGGTGGTGTGGAAACAGGGTCCTGCCATCCAAAAGAAGGATTGTATGCTTGTTTTTTCTTAGTTTCCCAAACAGTGGGGTCACACTAGAGGTTCTTTCGGTAAGGGTTAAGGCTGGGTTTGATCGAGGGTGCTCACGGGCGGTGACGGCGGCGGCTGTGGCGGCTGATTCGCTGCTATTTACGCTACATTCATGCCTCTCAAGATCTTCGAAGTGCATTTTGACTGCGCAAGCTCGCAGAAACTGCTGGCCGAGAGCGGGTACTTCTCCACTGCGCTCTCGTTGTGGCGCCGTGCGCGTTTTCAGACTTGGTGGGCACTTTTTCGTGGCAGGCACAAGGGAACCCTTGTGGTGGTCTCAAGTTGACTTGTCGTGGCCGATGCAGGGGATCGGAGCCGACTTACTTTGATGTGCAGATTTCGCGGCAGGCACGGCACTTTGGACTTGGTGGTCTTCAGCACGCTCTGACTTCGAACCTTCACAGGATCATAGTTGGGACCCGTGTGTCAGCCAGAGCAGTGCTTCGCTTCCAACGACGCCGCCTGCCAACAGATGCCGCTTTAGCCACCGACGCCAGCATCTCATTTGACAACATGACCGGCCAAGTCAACATCGGAGATAATGCGCTCCAGGGTTGTAGGTCCTGGACGGACCTGTGCTCGAGGGTTATGTTTGGCACTTTGCCGTTGCCTTTGGGCATGAATTGTTGGGAAAACGAATTGTCAGGCGCTCAGCCTATTCAGAGCCTAAAAGAATGTGTTGAGTCAATCAAAGGTATATTGGATTGGAGCCGCCATAGTGAAAGATTCGAGAAGAGTTCTTTGATAGAGGCTTCTTTGCTGGGAACGGCGCAACGTGGAAAACCCTGCAAATATCGATGGTTGAAAATGGCGGTGGTTTGGTGCTTGAGACCTATCCAAGCCGTATCCAGTGAAGCCTTAATTATGGCAGCATGTGCATCGCCAGCGTGGCCCGAACTCACGACAGAACATTTTGCGCGTTTGCGTGCTCTCAGTATATGTGTGTTCTCACAGGTGTGCTCATTTGTGTGCGATGATGTACGTGCTTTCATATGTGCTGGCGCGCGCTAGATGTCCGTGGCGGTGTGCGTTTTGGAGCTTGGGCGCTGGGCGCAAAAAATTGTCGATGCTAGCGCAATTGATCAAACAGTTGACAGCGTCATATTTAGATCGCGGGCTAGCTAGCCCACTCAGGAAGGTCTAGTGCCACCGCACCTTGTTCGCTTTCTATGACACCAACATCTGCAGAACAGTTGAGCAAGTGTGCACTTGGGTGGTTTCGCCAAATCTGTGGGAAGGAGATGGAAGGAGAACCATTGAACCAATCAACGCCAATCAATGCAGGACAGTGACAGTGCAAACGCGGCGGAGGTGACATGAATTTCAACATCATCACTGATTTTTCTGGCCAAAAGAACCGCTTTTTGCAGCAGTTTCGAGTCCGACGAAGTGGACTCCCAGAGCAAAGACTCAAGGGAATTTGAGAGGATGTGTAGAGTGTGGAAGATCAATTGGGCGACCTCAGGCCCGACTGTACAAGCTGAAAAGCAAGGCCGCGGGTGCTCCGGACAAGAACAGCGTCGATAACAAAGCCTGCCTGTTAGCTATCAACCGCGGGCAGCTGAATGAAGTTTGGAAGATCGCCAGCCAACCGAAATTTCAACAATCACTGAGCACTGAGTACAATCTAAAGATCCGGCTGTTTAGACACTCATTGCGGTCAGGCTGCGTGCCCAGCGGCGTCATGTCGATGTGTTCTCAAGGGTGTGCTCTTTTATGTGTGCTCACTCACACCCGTGCTCTCGTATGCGTATGGGTGCTCTCACTCATGTGTTTGTTCTCATGTGCTTGCTACAGTATGTGTGCTCTCACGTGTTTGCTTTCATTCGTGTGCTCTCATATGTGTGCTCAGGCAGGCACGCCTTGTTACGTGTGCTCTCATGTGTGTGCTCTCATCGATGTGCTCACATGTTTTCTCATGGGTATGCTCTCATATGTGTGCTCTCATGTGGTTGCTCACATGCGTGTGCTCTCATTTGTGTGGTCTCATACGTGTGCTCGCTCATACCCGTGCTCTCATAGGCTCAGTCCTTTCTTGCTCTCATATTTGTGCTCTCATGTGGTTGCTCACATGCGTGTGCTCTCATTTGTGTGCTCTCATGTGTGTGCTTTCATATGCATGTTTCATGTGTATGATCTCATGTGTGCCCTAGAGTGCGGGAATTGGCTTACTCACCCTTATCATTCTCTACCAAAATCTACTCAACACCGTTTGGGGTCTCTTGCCGGGATAATGCTTTTATCTTTATTAATTTTGGTTTTCGATTTTGCGTACATGTCGGTGAAAACCACATTCCAACGATACCCCAATGAGCAGCGTTCCAATTTTCCCTCTTCATCATTCTTCATTTTTAGTAAGGGGTCAGTGAAAATCGGTGAGCAAAATTATTTTTGAGCTGATGTTTGTGAGGTTTGCGATGATTTCCGTAAGGTTAGCCGTCAAGATGTGCAGCCAAGCATGGTGCTGTAAGGTTGCTGGACACTGACATTGATTGAACTTGCGTATCCTTGGCCGAAATTGAGCACAACGCAAGGATAATCTTGCGCACATACAGTGCTGTAAACAAAGTGAAATTTGTGTAAGACCTACCGTAAGAGTGAAATTTTCAGAAAGAACACACAACACATTTTTGAACACCATTCAAATCGGTCCGAATGTCTCTTTGAAACCCGAAGTTCACGGTGGTTTCAATGTTCGGGAGTGGTTGCATTGAATCCGTTGGGGTTGATTCAAGTGGCTCTGCGGCTACTTGGGCAAATTCTTCCTCGTCAGCCTAGGGGTGACCAAGGTTTGAGGCCTTTTTGGGTGTCAACGTTCCAAGTGTTTTGGAAAAGGTCCATGGAGCTCGCAGGAGGTGCGCAGTTGGATTTTCCAAAAAAACCAGCGAAAAGGTCTGCTTTTTCAGAACATGGAAGTGCAGAACTGGACCGTTTCGGGCCCCGAGAAATTCGAGATGATCCCTGAGGCTTCTGCAACTCAGCCCGATGAGGACTTCTCTCCTCCTTTCATCGGTGGCAGAATGGATGATTTTTTGGGTGCTTTAGGGTGCAGGCGTGGCTTGACCTAAAGACGGAAAGGACAAAGGCAGCTTGATGCACAGCTCTTTTGAGATCACTTTTTCTTTGGGTGAAGCACAGGAGGTGTCGGATGCCATCAAAGAGTGGAGCGAAGAGGCCGATTGCTAAGCAAGCTTCTTTGAGAGTGCATTCAGGAAACAAAGAACAAGCGAACTGGTGTTTTCATGCGGTTTTTGACACAGGTTTCACGCAGAACACATCTTTCTTGGGCTCAAGATTCTAATCCACACATCTCCGCCATCAAAACGGAGACCTCACCTAATGTCACCCTAACTCAAGCATTGCCTTTACCAATGGTTCACATCGGACACAGCCAGAAGCACTACCCAGAATTGTGGAAGATCCACATTAAGCATGGAAACAGCGCACGCAAATACCAGCCTTACTAACCTTTATTGCGACAGCTTCACTCACACCTCTCGTCAGCCTGAGAATGCTTCTGCTTGAGTGTTGTATCCTGTGCCTGGTTTTTTGGGCATCATTGGCCACCGCGAGCACCACAGCCACCACGAGATGTCGAATCTGTTTCAGCAATGAAGAGACCTGTTACTTTTCAACCGTGGGCGACCACCACTGGTGGGATGGCGCTGCAAAAGACTGCAGTCGTTGTCCAGCGTGTAAAGGGCGAGACACATACACCAGATACAGCACTGCAGATATTCTGGACCCTGGCAAGCACACCTGGGCCTATGCTATAGTTGGCACTGGATGCCATGCTAGCGGTGCCAACTGCATAGAATCCAGCTTGAACGCTTCCCAATGCTTAATTCTTTTGAAGAAGGATGTGTATTTACATTTTGAGACTCTCGAACTCATGACTTCCACCTCCCAGCTCGTGGTCGCTGACCTGAACCATACGTCCACACGCTTGATGCATCGACTTGGTGACGAAGCGCATGCACTTCATTTCAAGAACTCTTGGTACATCCTTTGGTTCAGCATTCAGCCCAAGATGTCCCGATGGAAGATGTGCAGTGGTTGCCCGCACGGAAGCACGAAAAGCACGAAGGCGGAAGGAACGCATGATGAGTTATGCAAGTGTAAGGCCAAGGAATTCACTTGTGTGAAGCGCAAGAATGTCACTCTCATGGGATTGCAGCTTCCGCACATCTATGATGTGGGCAACTGCCCTGACCGGGACTTGACGCCCATCGAGGCAGAAACTCAATGCATTGCAAGAGAGAAGCGGACGACCTATTTGGTGGCCATCGCCTTATCGGATATTTTCGCACTCTCCAGCATGACGGTCTTGAGTTTTGCTGCTTGGATGTTGCCAGCCGTTTTGATGATCTATCTCCTTTCGACCTTTGTGTCGATCTTGGTGGCGATTTGCCAAGGGGCCGACCAGAGAAACTTGAGGCTCAGGATCAATGCCATCCTTCGAGCCTCGAGTCAGGGATGCGGCCAGACGGGCGCACGCGTGACCTTGGTGGTTTCCTCGCTTCTGGTGCTGCTGACCATTCTTTATGTCAAGTCTTGTGGGGACGAGGCAGGCACTGGGGGGGAGAACTCGTGCATCCCATGGAACTGTCCAAGAACGTCCCCGGAACGGTCCAGTTGTGAAATTGAGCTTTTACCGTGCATGGAGGTTCGATCATAGCAGTGTCCATGGAAGGCCGCTTTTCACACGCCGCACGACTTGTGGCTCAAGCCATGACATGCGACTGGAAAAGGTGCGGTTCACGAACCCTCACACTTGGTTGCCAGTTTCGCATTGGCAGCGGAGCACGACTCCGGGGGCGTTTTGTGGGGCCCAGGCCTTTTTGGAAGACCCTTTTCCCTTTTGGGGGATCACATCTTTTTTCCACTTGGGCCACGACGCCATGTCGATCGTGGAATGTTTGCGATGGCAGACATTTAGCTGCTGCGCAAGATGATGCTTGGAGCACAGAAGCCAAATCTGGTGTGCCGCGCTACGACGGTGAGGTCAGCAGCTTTGAGGCTAGTGGACGGGCTCCGAGGCCCGGCGTTGCAAGTCGCTCGAGCTTTAGTCGACCGCCTTGCCGGCGAAGATGGCGCGAGCGTTCTCCTGAAAGCCCTGCAGAGCTCCCTGTACCAGATCGGGGCACAAAAGGAGGCGTTCTTTCAAGGCAGCATGGAGAGAGCATTCCTTCATATGTTCTCAGGCGGAAAGACTGGACTGGTACAACCTCATGCTTGACATGGACAGCAGCCTCAAACTTCCAGAAGCGATTAACAAACATTACAGAACTCTGGCATCAGCAGCGACCACCAACTGCTGATTCGAGCTGCTGTACATGGTGATGTCACCATGGAGAAATATGGAGAAGATCAGAAGATCTGTGAAGAATTGGTCGCGCAGCGCAGCCGCGTTCACGAGCAAGAGCTTCGAAGAGGCAAGGGGAGCTTTGGACACCATTCGAACTATGGCAAGGGCTTCAACTCCAAGGGCTATGGCAAGGACAGGCATCGCAGTTGGTCCCGAGCTTACCACACTCAGCCTGCCGATGAGTACTACGATTGCGAAGACTGGGAAAGCCATTCCCAGAGCCTTGGAGGCTATGAGGAGTTCGATGGCTATCACATTGACGAGGGCTATGCCTATGTGAACGACGAGGATGAGGCTATCCACACCGTTTTCATGAAGCTTTGATGGACAATGACTCACCAGATTGTGGCGCAGGACACTTCAACCAGTCCGAGCCCTTCGCTGGGTGTAGAGCAAATGGCTGATGATATCCCTGTGGAGAACTCTGGCACACGAGCGATACGAGCAGCTTGCAACCTGAATTTGAAGTGAGCCCAGGACTGATGCCAGAAATCTATGAACAAGAAGTGCCATCGTCAGTAACCCCATTGACGCAAGCACTTCGCCTTGACCCTGATCGTCTTGATGGAATCGCGCCACCGAGAGCGAATCGTGGCTATGATGAATGTGTGGCGACCTCCATCTTTAGCCTTCTTGATGGGACGCCAAGAACGTCGTGTCAAGAAGAAGACCAAGAAGGCGCAGAGAACGAAGAAGGCCGGAGCTGGCCGACAGCCGGTCTATGAGAAAGAGTCCAAGGAGGTCCAAGAGAAGCTCGACATCGCAAGGCGGAAGGAGTGGGGCAATTGGACCAAATACACCGATGGCCAAAGGGTTGGCTGAAGAGAGACTTCAGGAGCCGAGCTCAAGAAGGAGATCCCTGACCTTTGGGTGACTCCCACTCAATGGGTAGACGTCGACAAAGCAGAGGTCACAGAAGATCCGATGCAGAGTCCTGACCTCGAGGATGCTTCGCAGATGACCCTACTTTCTCGATGCCTACCTTGTCCGAGATGATGACCTTTGGACTGGAGAGATCAGTGCGGCGTTCCTTCAAGAGTCCAAGTTGGATCGCGCATTATCCTCTCCATGCCTAAGCGAAAAATCCCAGGTGAGCCGGAGGGACGCTACTACAGTATGGTCTCTTCGGCTGTCCATGGGACCAAAGAGTTCTTAAGCAGGGCTTCACCTCTGCAGCGCCTGCAGCTTGAAGACAGGCGACTATGTGGAAGGCCTTGTTGTCGTCCATGTGGACGATCTGTTGTGGACAGGTGGCCAAGTGATCATTGAGCGAATGGAAGCCACTTGCCAGGAATACAAGTTCGGAAAGCTTTCAAAGAATGAGTTCAAATACTGCGGCCGCGAGATCAAGAAAGACGACGCTGCAGTACACGTCAGTTGTCCGAACTTCAATGACCGTGTTCGTCCAGTGTACTTGTCAGCAGAGCAGCGCAAATCCAAAATTGCAAGAGTACCAGAGCATGTGAAAGACCAGTTGAGAAGCATCATTGGCAGCTTGGCTTGGTTGGCTCGTGTCTCCCAACCTGAACTTTCTTACGCCGCGAGCTACCTGCAACCCAATGTCTCTCAGGCGACTTGTGATCCTCTTTGCCAACAGCATTGTCAAGATCGCGCCTGGCAGCAAAGACACGGGCATCAGCGATCCGCTGAAGCCGTTCAAGTTTGAAGAGAGCATGGTCATTGGCGTCCAAGATGCTTCATTTGCCAATGACGCTGATGTCAGCGGAAGCGGCAAGAGATTGGGATTGAGGAGCCAGAGTGGACGCTTGCTATGCCCGGCGCATGAATCCTTCCAGCACACCCACCAGGGCCACTTGCTCATGCTGGACGGGTCGATCGACCCTACAGGCCGAGATGCTTTCAATGATCTCTGGCATGGAAGAATGTGAGCGCGTGAGGTATGTTCTTCATGGCCTTTGGCGTGAGCATGGGCATGATCTCCTCCAGTCGCAGATCGCAGCACAAGATGCTGTGAAGATGAACCTCTACACCGACTGCTGCTCTCTGTCCGAACATGTTGGACAACCTGGATTGCACAGTGTCCAGGACAAGCGCTTGGCCATTAACCTGAGCGCGACAAGGCAGCTGGTGTGGCGGCAACCTGGGGAGTTGCTGGGTGATCCACTTTTGACGAATCACATTCCGCCAGATCGGACTACAAGCTTGGTCTGGACGAGTACAGACCGCGTGCCAGCGGATTGTTTGATCAAGGCAATGAAGCCTGCCACTCTTTTGGAGGTCATGAAAGGACATTGCAATGATCTCACTCCAAAGAATAGAGACCGGCAGAGACCGGTGTGAAATTGAGCTTTTACCGTGCGTCGAGGTTCGATCATAGCAGTGTCCATGGAAGGCCGCTTTTCACACGCCGCACGACTTGTGGCTCAAGCCATGACGCGGGACTGGAAAAGGCGCGGTTCACGAACCCTTTTCTTCGGTCACACTTGGTTGCCAGTTTCGCACAGTTGCACCTTTAAATTGCATGTCCTCGACAAAACTCATTTCACTATCACAACAAAAGACAAACACCTGGTAAGAGAATCATCTTCCAAACTTGTTTCCATGCAAATCCATGTGCAGCTGCATGTGTGGTGCTGCGCGAGGCTTCAGCGAACTTCTGGGTGCTGTTGGCCCTGAGGTTCTGGATCAGCTCAGGAGTGATTTACTGGTGGCACTTCCGCGTGGCGAATGAAGTCAATGGAGATGAAAAGCAACTCTCATGTTGGAGCTGGGGGTCTTTCCTTTGTTGCATTGGCTGTCAAAACCCCTTGGGCTTGTGTTTGCCTTTGGGACTACAAACCAAGCGTGGAGAGAGCAGTGATCCGATGGTGATGGCTGAAACAGGGGAAGCTAGCGCACCTGCTCTGCCTTGGGGTATGTCGCGGGATCTCCTGAGAGAGGCACTGGTGGTGGAAGAAAAACATGTGTCCAGATTGAAAAAACTGTGTATGCTTGTAAGTTGCTTGTAACGAAGCACTCTTCGGAATCGCTTCCATTCTGTTTTGGAGCAGCGGTCTTTCAGGACCTCCCGCAAAAAGGGGCCTTTTTCATTTAGAACAGGGGTCAAACAGGTTCTAGGGCTGGAAGACGTGTAGGCAGGCATTCCTGACTTCATTGCTCTTGCCTGGAACCGATTGTAAAGGCCGTGGACCGCCGGTCAATCGGCCAGTGCTGCTGCTGCTGTGTCAACTCTCCATAGATTTGCTCGAACGCTAAGCCTGCTTTGCTCGCCGATCCGACTGGATGGAAACCAGCTGAGTGATGCCGGTTGGATGGATGGATGGAGTGGATGGAGCTGGGGATGCCGTTGTTGGGTGACGTATCAACACAGGGAGACCTCCCAGGCAACGATCCCCTGGAAGGAAGGAAGGATATAGACTCAAATAGACCAAAACCATCCAAAATCCATTGGTTGGTTGGAGGTCTCCCTATTAAAGTACTGTACACACCCATGTGGTACCAGACATGTGGTAAAGCCAACGCGATTTGTGGTGCGTGCGGTGATTTGTGGCATGTCATGTTGCTTTGTGCAAGCTGACGTGTGAGTGATGACTCTGAGACCAGCAGGGGGCAGGCAGCGAGACCAGGGCCCTCCCTCACACGAAAACCACACACTTAGTGAAAAAACAAGTCCACCACAGGATGGGCACACAGTGGTGAGGTCGGACCGCAATCTTATATGACTCTGTCTCACTTGCATATCATATTCATGCAAGGTCAGTGATCTATTCCATCCAGATGCAGTTTGTAGCGATTGCAGGGGTCTTCTGTGTTTGTACTTATGTCTCCAACTCTCCAGCACATGGTGTACTGGGATTCTACCCAACTAGTACAGAGAATTCTCTATCAGGTTATGGTGATTAACGCATGTCAATCACTGGTGTCCCCGATTTCTACACCCCAAACAAGGTTGAATGAACACTTGTTTGAATGAAACCGCGGTCCCCCACCTTGCAACAGGAACAAGAGTACATGCGCAGATACCGTGAGCTTGTGGCGAACAATGCAAATCCTGACGATGTGTCTGAACAGGCAGATGTCAGCGCCGTGATCATGCTTGTGCTGGGAAGGTTTCTGGTTCAACAGCCAGGGGACATCAATGATTTGCGCAAAAAGGTGCATTTGGGACTAGTCGAGCTACTCCCTCTGCTTTACTTCCTGGTTTGGACGCTTCTGGCAGCTGAAATTTCTTTCCTCCATGCCGACTTTTTACCACCAAGTCCGCTGCCTCAGCAAGTGAAAGAGTTCATCCCGCAGTTGGGGCACTATGATTTTGGAAGCAACCTTGGAATCACCCCTGGCTGCTTGGCAGCACATTTTACCAGTGTTGCAGCCAGCTGCCTGGTTGCAAGCAGAGTAGCATCACAGCGTTTGCGTGAGTGGCTTTATGCCTACGGCCCGCTGGAGCAGTGGCAAGCAATGTATCCCAAAGGCGAGGAGTTTCAGGATGCGACCTATGCCAGGTTTTCCAAGAAGGAAACGCAGAAGCTTTTAGCGCCAGAGAGGAAGACGTTGGAGATCTGCGGCTTCCAACTGAACTCCCAAGCTGTGGCCCTCCCGCACAAGTCGGAGGTCTTCTTGAAACTGGGCATCTATGGGGTGCTTGGGCTGAGCATGTTTGGGTTTCTATGTGTCCAAGAGGATCTCAGTGGACATCTCACTCGCATCCGAGAGATTGTGAATACTCTGGCAGATTCACAGCTTAGCAAGACCAAGTCGGGCATGCCGAAGTATCAGCAAACTCCATCTCAGGATACATACCTCATGCCCAACTGGCCCACCCAGCATCCTGAGCTCTACTACCTGGCCCTTTGGCTTCCAATCTTTCCCCTTCGCCTCTTCAATGCTATTCTCTTTGGAGCTGAATGTTCATTCCTGGCACAGACCTCTGAGAGACTCTTTAAGAAGGTGGGCTCGGGGAATGAGGGGAGGATGCAGGTGAAAGAGCAGCTGGACATCCTGAAGTGGAAGGTTCAGGACATCTCGTCCGACTGGAGCTTGATGCTGAAGTTTGGTGTAGTGCTGGACCTCATGGCAGTCGCAACTGGGGTTTTGGCTGCATGGCGTCTATCGAGACGCTTTGACCATGATCCTAGCTTTGACCAATATGATGAGTTCAATGGCTTGCTGGTCGCCAACTGTTTTACCTCGCTGATTGTGCTGACTGTGCAGATTCTGCCAGTGATCACTTGGAATGCCTGCTTAGAGAAAGCTTTGAAGGATAGTGACAATGTAGATCCTGTGCTGCACTTGTGGCTCTCACAAGGCTTCCTGAAGATGAAAGTCTTTGGGCTGGCTCTGAGCTGGTCATACTTTGTTGCTTTGGCTATCGCGCAGCTGGCTTTGATGAGAGAACCCATCCAGGCGATTGTGGTGCCTCCGCTGATGCAAACGCTTGACTAAGGGAGGTTTTCTTGGACAATTTCGGAGTCCATCTTCGTGAATTCGGGGCCAAATGAGCCCAGGCCAGAACTGGAGGCATGCAGGAGGAGCAAAAGAATCCAAACGTACTGACAGAAAGCAATTAAGATGGATTATATAATGGAATGTTGACTTTCGGGTTGTCCAAAGTTAGTCGTGCTTGTGTTCAACCAGTGGTTGCAGTCTCGCTGACGAATCGGGTCTAAAATGGTCCTTGAGAAGTGAAGGTTGGTCCGGGGATCTACATTGCAAAGACTTCGTGCGGGGGCCAGGAATATGACCCCGTGTGCAGTTTTATGGAGGGCTTGGACGAAGGGGGGTGGGCGTGGTGTCCCATTCCATGAGAGTCTTGTCCAAAATCTCGTGCCAACCACTCTGCAAATTGTCGTTGACACACTTCAGTGGAGTCTGATAGAATGGCTCCATCGCTGCTCCACTTCTCTCCGTGGCTTGAAACGAATTGAATCCCATTGACACAGGGACACATGTGCCATGACCCAAATTGGGGAGGTTCGAAAAGGTGCGCTCGCGGGGTTCCCACAACTCACCGGTGCGGCCGTCCCAGGATCAACTTGCGCTCGGAGGCCGATGCTGTTGGGAGTCCCAGCATGAACGAAGGTCCACTCGAAGACAGAACAGGTAAGCTTTAGGGTTTGCTCGGACGATGAAAGATCTGCAGCGAGAACTGCGGACCGGGTGAAGGATCGCCTGAACCGCGCACCGCCGTTGGTGCCGTCCAAGGACTCCGAGCTCATGGGTGGTATGGTGAAGGCCACTTCAGCTTCGGTGAAGCTGCCGAGCTAGATAGGGCTAGATAGGGCTTTGATAAGGCTAGATTGGGCTAGTTAAGGTGGCTTTCGGCGCGCGAATTGATCCAATCATTGATGTCATTGGAAACATCATCCTGTCTCACTCAAGAGCATTTGAAGCGCTCTGTGCAGAATTGGACTTGCGTCTCTCCCTCAACATATGGACTGTCTCCTTGACCCCCAATTCTTCGCCTGGTCCGAGTGCAGGTCAATGTTCCCGAACGCTGATGAAAGCAGGTCCTTTTATGGATCTTTTTATTGGCCTCCTTCTTTGGACGTGACCTTCGAAAAAAGAGGGGACCCGTGTTCCCCTAGTGTCGGAACCGACCCGGGACCCACGGGTTCCTCCGGCGCGTTCCTTCCGGCCCCAGGCGGGCGAAGTCTTCGAAGTCACGGAGGTCCAAGCGCCCAGTGAGGCGGATCCGCCTGGTGAGCTCAGAGACGACAGTTCGGAGGAAGGAGACGAGACGGTGGGGTGGAGATGAATAAATATATAGTAGTATAGAATATCTATCTATCTATATATAATATATATATATACACACATTATACCAGCATAGACCCCTGTTGACCATATTCATGAACAAATTGACAATGTCCAATGCGTCTCACGGCCACATTATCGGGCGCCCCATCTATCAACAGTATGAGACGGTCCCCTACGCGAATCCGCTTCTTTCGCGGGCGTCCGATCGGACGTCACTCAGCATTCTAAACACTCGGCCACAGAGTTCAGGGGTGCGGCCAGTCAGTGTGGCCAGGCTGGTCAGCGCGGCCAGAGGACAACAGCAGGATAAGAGAAGGACAAGAGGAGGACAACAGCAGGACAAGAGAAGACAAGAGGAGCGCAAGACCCGGCCACAGAGCCTGGCGACAGGGGCGCGGCCGCGGCCAGTCAGTGTGGCCAGGGCTGGTCAGCGCGGCCAGGACAACAGCAGGACAAGAGAAGGACACCAACAGGAGAAGAGGAGAACAAGACCCGGCCACAGAGCCCGGCCACAGAGTTCAGGGGCGCGGCCAGTCAGTGTGGCCAGTTCTTTTGTTCTAAGACAGAGGCCCAACAGTAAACTGCTTGGGGAATATATAGATTTATACATATATATATATATATGTATATATATTTTTTCGACTTTCGGACAGGTTGTCGCAGACTCCGGAAATTCTTCGAGGTGTTCATGCTAAGGCGTCTCTCGGATCTGCAGCACTCAAAGGAGTTGAGATGGAATTCCGGAGTTCATGGTGTTTGTCTCCTTGAACACGGCAGTGTGCCCTAAGCGGCCCGGTTTATTCGTTGGGATCGTGCTTGTTAGTATACCCTTCCAAACTGCTCCTGCTCAGGTTGGGCTACCTCCGCGTGGGAGAGCGCGGGTGGATCTTCGACGTGGGCATTGCGGGGCCTTGGGTGTGCCAGCCCAGTTGGCAGAACAGATTTGTGTGGTGGGGTTCGTGCAGAAGTCCAGTTCTTGACCCACAAGAGGGGTCGAAAGCAAATCGCTTGCTGAACATGAGAGTGTTCTGACATGAGGAAGTAGAGGTATGCTAGTGTCCATAAAAGCTTCGCCCGCGGCCACGCCATGAGGATGGTGGGACGAGGCATTTGAGCTTCGGAATTCTTAGGAATGAACCCTATTGCGGGTCAAATTGGTGCACAGGAAGATGAACATGGAACCTGAAAATGAACCTTCAGAAGACTAGTTTCCTCCAGAAAATCCGTGTTTTCAGGTTCCATGTTAATCCTCCCGCGATCGAAATGGGTTGACGCCCCAATTGGACCTAAGAGATCTAAGAGTGACTATAAACGAGAGCCGCGTCATCAATTTTTTGACAGTGTATACTTTAAACAGGGGCATCAAAACATCAAGAAACTTGAACCAGTTTCTTGGTCTGTTGTGTCCTCTATAACCTCCAGTGGACCCTAAGTTTCCCAAACAGTCTAGGAGACAAATCATTAGTGCGAGCGCTTCTTCAAGGAAGTTCCCGCGGGCTTCCTTGAAGAAACCTCTTTCCTGCGTCCTAAGTAAAGAAACTTGCTCCCTTACTTCATGAAGTAGGCACCTACTTAATTAAAGACAGTGCGGGCTTTAAACATAAATACGCCTTTCTGGGGTTTGCTTGGTCAAAAGCCAACCAACCGCTGTTGTGACACACAGGTGGGTGTTCCCATCGTGGCAGAGGTCACTGGTCAGCTGGCCGAAAGGTCGGCGAGAATGGGGGGCTGGCACTGGTCGCCAAGAACGAGTTTTGATGAAGATTAGGTGGATGGGAAACCACAAGATGTCTTGTTTCTTGCTCACAGTCTTCGAATCACCCAAATTCTGTCGGCTTGTTTCCTGGTGGTTTTCGCAAGATTATGTTTTGAATTACCCTTGAAATTGAGTAGAGGAATGTGGAATGGTCACCCTTTGTGGCCTCCAGAGCCGCAAAGCACAATAGCTTGGCCTAGGGAGCATGAAGAGCCAGCAAACAAGTGCATTCCAACACCTTGTCGAATTTATTCCCCTCACATGCCCCACACGACAGTTCCAAGGTCCAAACCACTGGTTTCTCAGAAAGACCTGGCCGTCGCCTCCGCCTTGCCATCATGGACTGCAGGTACGCCCGCATCTTGCGGAATCGCAACCGCTACGCGGAGTGTGGTCCCAAATGGCTGGGGTGGGACATCGGAAAGCCACGGAAGCGGCCCCAAAAAGGCAAGGAACTCTTGGCTGAGAACCCAACCCCATGTGGGGATGGGTCAAAACCTGGAGCCTCACACCATGTAGCTTGACCTCCGCTATGGTGAAGGGCTGTGGGAAGCGCAGACCTATAAAAGGTCAGGTCAACAAAGGTCTCCTGGTTTTGACCCACAGCCATATGGGGATTACTCCGCTGTCAGAATTTCAGACACCGTTTTTTGAACAGTGCCATCTACTAGGGTTCGAAAACATGGGTGCCCGATTAGGGAAATGCCATCTGTAGATGGCACTACTCCAGGTGCAGGCAGGCACTGGCCAGGCGTTCCATCTACTTGGTTTTCAATTTGTTTTAAAGGCAGAAGGCATTTGTTGTTTCCATCTTTATTTGTTTTTCCCTAATGGCGCTCAACCGCGTGGGCTTGGGAGGCATAACTTTGTGCATATCAAGCCAAAAAGGCCTCCATAGATGGCGCAATGCAATTTTCATGAGTGAAAAACATTGAGAATGGATGCAATAAAAAAAAGCCCAAACATGTTTTTCTTTGGGCGCTTATTGTGGTTCCATTGTTTGTGTTGGATCCATCCACAATTTGAGTCCTTCCAGAAAGACTAAAATGATCTTTCAGTTTGACTCTGTATACCACACAATCCACGGTACAGTGAATTTATTGAACGACCAATCTGCATGCAAGATCAAGGGATGCGGGGAAGAAATGAGCGCACACCACGAGGTGCAGGGCTTCAGGAGTAGATGGCGCAATTGGTGCTAGTACTTGGCACCATTGATTTGGTTCCTATGGGTTGGCCACTGAGTTGTGCCATCTACCTCTTCAATTTGCACTCCCTTACACTTGGCTAACCACACGGGATGCTCGCACTAGTTGCGCCATCTACCCCTCATGTTTGCCTGGAGTTGCTCTTGGATTCTTTTTTATTGCACGCATTATTCATTGCACATTTTCCGTGCCATCTACCCATTTTGGGGGCATCCTAGTTGTGCCATCTTATTTTCACCCGGTGTAGAGAAATCTCCAATAGGTTCCATCCATAACTCATTCAAGAGATCTTGGAGATCTTGACTCATGCATGATGTATCCCCATGGGGATAGAGTTTTGGTCCATGACTCACGCAAGAGATCTTTCAGAACCTCCTCGGTCGGCAGCGTTCATGCATGATGTATCACCCGTCCACGATCACCCTGCGGCGTGGAGACGATCAACTTCGCGACCTACAACCCTCCGAAATGAAGATGTTTGATCACCGGTAGGGGGATTTATTTAGAAACAACCAATATTCGTCTTTCTTTCTTTCTTTCTTTCTTATGTTGATCTTGTTGCATCTTATTTTATTTTTCTTATCCTGCTAGTCTATCTAATCTATCTATACAATCCAATCCAATCGACTCTAATCCAATCCAATCCAATCGAATCCAACCCAATCTAGTAGAATCTACTCGTGTCTAATCTTGCCTGTCTTGTCTATCTAGTCTATCAATCCAATCAATCAACCTACCTATCGATCTTGGGGCTGCCGCCCTGCTTAAATCCACTTTTCTACTCATATCACATGTTTCTGATGTTTCTGTCAC